TATGCATACATAAGGTAGAAAGCAAGGCATATGCATATTTGACAAATTATTGCTCAAGGGAATTTAATCTATATAAAGCATGGAGAAAGCATATAAATATCAAAATAAAATCAACATGATGATATCGGTTTAGAAATACCATATGTGGAAACCAATTTGATTTCTACCACTTACAATAGGTGGTGGATATTTGAAGTATGATGCTTAAATCCGGAGACTCTATTTTCCTTGCAATAAGACTACTACACACATGATAAGCTTGAAAAGGTGTTAGTCTCAAAGCATTCAACTTGTAGAATAACCTCCCCCTAAATTTGTGCACACAAGTGTGGGATACTTGTAGAAGTCATGCACATTGATTTTAGAATCAATAATACCACTTGAAAGATGACATCTCATGAATGTGAGAATCATTTTCGAAGATGATATTCGGGAGAAATTATCTACAATTTGGACTTTGGCACATATTAGATGAACAATCAAAAGACAAGCTATGTGCCATGCTCCTAAACAATTTTAAATCATGTAGGTTTTCTCCAAGGGTTAAAAATGAAACCGAGCAAGCCTAACATAAGATATACCTAGTGTATGCATGACAAAAGATGTAAGCATGCAAATGCAAACATAGGCATGAAAAAGTAACTAGATGTTTAAAGATACCAATTTGTAAGAAATACCACTTGTAGGAAATACAAATTGATACTACTTGAATGAAATTGAATCTAGTTACCTAACATGGGAAGGGGAATTTGGGTCCATAGTATTCACTAACTCACTTGGCAATGATTTTGTCCATCATGATACACCCATACTTTGTCAAGTCTCCAAATTCCCTGAAGTCCATTGGACTTCTCACTTCCATTTCGGGATCCAAACCTTCTTGGTGCTCTTCATGTTGGAAATGATTGCCTTTGGCACCCGAAAGCGTTTGACCCCATTATTGACTTGCTTGTTCACCTTGATGGCCATCACCTTGTCATTTTTCTTCTTCTTTAACAAGTATGGTGTGGAGGCCTTCTTGTCCACCTTGTTGGTGTAGGTGTTGGAGAGCTTGCTTGTTTGCTTCTTATCTTTCTTCTTTGTTCCTCCCCCATTCTTCACCTTGCACTCATAGGACTTGTGACCTTCTTTATGGCACACGTAGCAAACCACGGTTTATCCTTCATCAAGCTTCTTCACTCCCTTGACGGTGTTATCTTGATGAAGTTGGTCCTGCTTTGCCTTGCCTTTTACTTGTGTCAAATCCTTGGTGAGACATGCTACTTCTTGCTTGAGTTGCTCATTCTCCTTTGCAACCTCTTGTGTGCATGTATCTACAACAACTTTCTCAACACAAACTTGGTTGCACAAAGATGAGTCTAAACATAAATCATTACAAGAAGTAGAGGCATCCTTTTTAGACATGTTAAAGATAGAACTTTTTTTTAGATGCCTTGGTGGGGGTTGTACTAACGACTTCAAGATTAGCAACTTTATTAGTTAGCTCATCACAATGTTTGCACATGGTTTCCATTTTAGCAAGCAAACTTTTATAAGCATCTTGTGAGCTAGCTAACTTTTCTTTTAATCTTTCATTTTTCTTTACAAGTTGCTCATCATTAATTGTGCATGCATTTATTGTTGCACTAGCCTTAAGTTGCTTAATTTTAGTAGATAGTTCAACATTGAGATTAGCAAAGTTCTCATATTGTTCAAGCAAAGTTTTGTATGCTTCTTGTGAACTATCTAGCTTTACTTTTAATTTTTCGAGCTTCTTTTGTTGACTAATGCAAACTTTAGCATAATTAAGATTTTGTTGCACAATTTCATCATAAGAAGGCATTTCATCATCACTATCACTCTCACTAGAGGATGAGCTTTCGTTACCTCATGCCATAAGGCACATACGAGAAGAGCTTGATGATGAGTGCTTGTGTCCTCGCTTCTTGTGATGGTGTTCTTCTTCACTTGAAGAATCATCCCATGACTTTATTGATGTGAGGGCTTGGTTCTTGCATGCCTTCTTATTTGTCTTGGGTGTGGGCTTGTTTGGACAAACTTCCACAAAGTGCCCCAACTCGCCGCATCCATAACATCATCTCTTTCTTTGCTTATTTCTTTGATTGGTGAAAATGAGATCTTGGATTTAGATGAGCACACTCTTGACATTGAGCCTTTGGATCATCTTCTCCACTTTGTTGATAAGTTTGATTGATTCTTCATCAAGGTCGGAGGTGGAGGAGGAAGATTGATCATCATCACTTGATTCTTCATCATCATCATCATTATCATCCTCATCATCTTCTTCATCTTCACTTGAGAAGCTTGAGCTTGAGCTTGTCTCAACTTGCTTGCCCTTCATCTTCTTTTTCTCGCTACATGCGAGAGCTTTGCCTTTTCTTGATGAAGAGGCTTCTTCTTGACCCATCTTACCTGACATTTCAAATGCCACTATCTTGCCAATGACTATGCCCGGAGTCATGGTGCTCAAGTCCTTGTTGTGAAGGATGGTGATGATGTTTGCATATTTCTTTTGTGGTAGCATGGAGATGATCTTCCTCACGATGTCCGTATCATCTAGCTTTGTTAATCCTATTGAATGAAGCTCATTGATAATTAGATTCAAACGAGAATATATATCACGAACGAGCTCATCATCATTCATTGTAAAGAAATCATAATTTTGTTTAGCTAAACAATGTTTTTGCTCACGGACATTAGATGTGCCGTCATGGAGCTCTTGGAGTTTAAACCAAATTTCATGTCCCGTATTTAAAGTGAACACTTCGTTAAACACATCCATGCTAAAAGATTCAAACAAGCAATTCTCAGCTCTAGCATTGAAATGTATTTCCTTTTCTTCACTCTTTGTGGGTTTATCGGGATTCTTAATGGGTTTTATCCCGTCACGAGTGACCCTCCAAACTCCCAAATCAACCGCCTCAAGGTAGCAAGCCATTCTAACTTTATAATAAGGGAAGTTAGTGCCGTCAAAGTGCGGTGCCTAGAGGTATCTATCCCAACCACTCTAAATAGCGTCGGCTCAACGGCAGTTAAGCCAAAGGTTCAAATTGAGTCAACCCGCTCTGATACCAATTGAAGGGGACCGTGACGCCTAAGAGGGCGGGGGTGAATTAGACAACTTAAAATTCTTACTCTAAACTATGGCCTCTTTTTCTAACCTTAGCAAAACCTATGCAAAAGATAAACTATCTAAATGTGCAACTATGGTTTTGCTAGTGTATTGCTATCTCTACCGCAAAAGGTGTAATACAATCAATGTAAATGCGGAAGCTTATGAGCAAAGTAGAGATATGCAAACTCCCATCGACGACTCCGGTATTTTTACTGAGGTATCGAGAAACGTGCAAGCTTCCCCTAGTCATCGTTGGAGCCCCTCACAAGGGCAAGCTCTCGGTTGGGTAACTCCGTGGATAGCCTCGGGCCTTCCCCACGCGCAAGTGGGTCTCCGACGTGCCTTCCGGCAAGCCTCTCCCGAATGCTCCCTGCCGTCTTCACTATCAAGCTTCCGGCCGAAACGCCGCGGGCCTTGTTCCCTCCGGCCGAAACGCGGTTGGTGTGATCTTGCAAGACTACAAGCCCCTCCGATGTACAACAATGGTGCGCACAAGCACCGAGTGGTAAGAGGTATGCAAACCTCAATAAACACTAGGCCTAAACCTAGAGCAAGCGCATAAACGGTGGTCTAATCAACCTAAGCACTTTGCAAAGCACCTACGCTAATCACCTAATGAATCACTAAGTACTATGCAAGTGGAGATCACTAAAATGGTGTATCAACACCCTAGATATGTTTCCTCAGCTCCACACTTCTCATTTGGCCGGTTGGGGGGTCTATTTATAAGCCCCACTGAGAAAGTAGCCGTTGAGGTCGAAATCCCGCTTTTCTGCTATTGACCGGACGCTGATCACGTCCTGACCGGACGTGTCCGGTCGTCCCGACCACTAGAGCCGCGATCCACTGATCGGACGCTACCATGCCACCGGACGCGTCCGGTCGTATTTTCGCCGCTCTAGAACCTCTCTGTACTCGATCGGACTCTGCTGTCTTGTGTCCGGTCGATCTGCCGCCAGCGTCCGGTCCAGCGTCCGGTCACGCCTGTTGCTGAGCCTTCTTGATCGGAGCGTCCGGTCACTTTCCTCCAGCGTCCGGTCACCTCTGTGAGCTTGTTTCTTCGTGATCTTACGTACGGCTTGGTTCCTGTCTTCGTGCTTGGATTTTGCTTGATATCTTAGGTCTTCTCTTGTGCTTCTAGGGTCTTGCTTATGGTGTTGATCATCGGATCATCACGTCGCCTTCGTCCAAGTCACGTCTTGTATCCTATTGAATTACAAAACAATCACTTGCAACTTCATTAGTCCAATTTGGTTGTGTTAATCATCAAACACCAAAATCCAAAGTAAATGAGCCAAGGGTCCATTTTCCTTACAACACCCACCTCCATTTGTTTAACAGAGACAAGCGACTAAAATCGACTGCCTCCGTTGTTGCGGCATTAAGGAAGGTAGGCTTCTTAGGACGCTTGCCTCTGTTAAAGATTAACAGAGGTGAGTGTTTTACCATGGCCCCTACATTAATAGAGGCGACTCCCTTTTATGCCTACCTATGTTAATCATGCGGCCTTTCTTTCAAAATCTTTTTTTGGGATAGTGTGTGAGATGGTTGTGCTAGCCAATCAAGAATATTATTAAAAAAATATTTCTTCGCATCAAGGTACTCAATAGTCATACGGTGCTGAACATGTATGACTTGGTTGTGTCGGTTTCATGACATTTAGTGACACATGGCATAGGGATATCTTCTCCCGAAGTCCCGAGCAGGGTGACGATCTAGTCTTAGCATTTTCATGAGCACGCCACTTGTGCATCGCCACTAGTAGTACACAACAAACAATTATTGAATTATATATGTTGGACTAAACAAGCAAAGCCGTTTATTTGATTTACGTGACAGCAACCAGAAATTGAGGTCCGATGGCTAGCTGAAGCTTGAGTCGTGATCACTCCATGGATTTATTACCCTTGTGGACTCCACAGAAAGCCTTGAGTGGGTCATCCAGCTTGCGGCCTTCCTCGATGTAAAGGAAGTCGACGTATTCGTCGAGCCTACAAGGATTATACATCAGTGGGTGCTCTCCATCGACGAGCTCGTCCATCGCGCTGACCTCGTCGCCGTCCCCAGACCAGCTGCCAAAAATCATGGAGAAGCGCTCGCGGTTGCTCAGCGTCCTAACGCGGTGAACGGACGCCGGCACCCTCCCGTTGGTGAGGATCTGCAATACATGCGGTGATAGTCGTCAGAATAGTCTGGAGAACTAATGCTTCCCCGTTTGATCGATCCGATGGGCTATACTATACCGTGAATAGCTCGCCAGCTTGGAAGGTAAACGTGTCCGGCTCGGCACGAATGGGGAGCCAGCTCCCGTTCTTTGCCTGAACCTCGAGGCCTTCCACTTCGTGCTGTACGATGAGGGTGCTCATGTTGAAGTCGCGGTGCACCGCCATGGACAGTCGGCGGCTACCTGCAGTGTCTTGCTGTACGCCGTAATGCGACGGCCGGAGAGTGTGGGTGAGCGAGCGGAGGTGGGAGCGGATAGTGTCTTCCGGGACGCCGAGGCCTTCCAGGGTCATCCTCTGCAACGTCTGCTCCAGTTGCAGCAAGTTCTTTGCATATCGCAGCATTATGTCACTGGACCGATGGGTCGGGAGCGACAGGTTCAGGTTTAGTCAGGAGCACAAATTTAATTGTACGTGTGTCAAAATATGCATGCAGTAGTGTCAAGAAACGACCAGGACTTGATTGGAGGTGTTACCTGAATTCCGGGTTACCCTGCGGCCAGAACAAGTTGGTGAATTCGTGGATGTTGCCGTCGTCCGTGGGTTCATGGACGCAGACGCTCTCATAGTCCGTTTCTGCACTTGCTATGTAGCTTCTGAACCACCTGGTGGATACGTTCCGCTGCTTGGTCTCCAGCGGAAGCTGAAAGAGCTCCGGAAAGGCACGGCCGAACAGCACCTCCCGGAGCGCCGGCTCTAGAGCGTCGTACGCGACAACGACGCAGCCGTAGGCTACCATGGAAGCCGTCACGGCGGCCCGGGCTTCCTCCCAGCCCGGAACCCCAGGCTCGACACCGCGTAGGTCGACCTTTGGGATATCCATGATCTGCTTGATGTTCTGCGGCTTGGTCCATGGAGACGTTTGCACTGGCTAGTTATAAACGCCTCCGGGCCTTATTCGTTCTTGATTAGCTAGGACGTACCATTCACTTGAAAAAAAAGTCATATACTTAGTCTTCACAAAGAAATCCAAAATAATCATCGGTTATGCTGCCGTATAGTTAAATTTTCGTCATGACATGGACGTTAAGGATTTGTTGGATTTTATATTGGCCAGAAAAAATCGTCATTAAGAAAATTATCCAACAACCATGTGTTTTATGCAGTTTTAACCCATGAATTTTTTTATACCATAGAATTAAGATCCAATAGTCTCCACCCTCCTTTTATCTCCAGCCTCCAGCCTTCTTCTATCTCCAGACAATCATAAATCACAAGATCACAGATCCACAGATCACAAGAAATATATTTTTTTTCTATGAAAGGACAAATCACAGCAGAGGAGGAAGCAGCAGCACTGCACCAGTCTGGTGTCAGCAGGCAGGGCCACGCACGCACCACCCGGCCGCCCTGGTGCTTTTCCACTCCACCCGCTGCCTCGCCCGCCTGCGCCTTGTCTGGTGCGGTGCAGGCAGGCGGCTGCCGAGCCGGTCCGGTGCCGGCCGCGCCGCGGGCCGGACTAGAGAAAAGACAGGGCACTAGAGGATGTTGTTGCCATGCGCTCTGCAGCAGCAGCAGCTAAAAAAATTCATGTGTTTTATTGGAATAAAACACATGTGTGTTGTATAGCATTTCTGAAATTAATATCTATAATAAGTTCAAACAAATACTTAATCAAAACATATTTTATGGGTTGCGTCAAAAAAACATATTTTATGGGAATTAAATAAAACTAATTTGAAGCTTGAGATACATATAATTAAACCTCGTGAAAGTCAATTCTAGACAAAGAAATTCAAAATAATCATCAGTTATGCCGCCATGGTGTCATTTTTCATATGGATACGGATGGAAGCATGTGCTGGATTTTATATTGGCAAGAGAGGTCGTCGGAATCGCTTATTCCAGGGGACAACCGCATGATAATTGCACATATACATAAGATCTAATAATTGATTTATTTACTCCTCATTTCCGGACTTTTCTTGTTTGTAGACACGTGCATTTCAATACATTTTTCCTTAAATGACAACGATTAGAGCTTGACACCAGTGAGCTGCTAGCACCCGAGATCAAACGAATCCATGACCAACTAGCTCTGGGTTCATCATGGACGAGGTGATCTAAGAGGATTCAAAGTTCTTCATTTTATTTGGAGGTGACCCTAAATCTAAGTGATTTATTTGTAATGTACTTATGAATTGAGAGTTCAAAATTTGTACCAAAATATAAGGTAATCGAGGTAAACAAACACTCCAAAAGACAATATCCATATGCATACCTACCATTAACGTCTGTAGCGCCCAGTTTTTCAAAGAAAACCAAGCTCGCCGTATATGTGCCTAGGAAGTCCACACACACAACAACAAAATAGAGGATATCTAAAACAATGTTATATAGCGAAAACATACTTATATTTAACACTTACATGGCGGAACGGTTACTAATCTTCTCTTCTAGCTCTATTTTACAGGGACGGCTGACTGGGGGTAACATAATCCTAGCATTTCTATCAGTCCTCTGTAATCTCCTCTGTGTCTTCATCAATCTTCTGAGTAATTTTTACTATAGACTGGGTGTAGGGGAAATAGCAAGGGTGAGCACATGTCGTACTTAGTAAATATAGCAGTAAATATAGCATGGGGTTCATGAGGCACAAAAAGTTGACATTGGTTTACTGCAATTAGCTTTTTGTAAGTCATAATTTTAGCAATTGAGCATAACAAGTTTAGCATAAGCCCATTATAACCATATGATCATGTAAACAACAATAATGTATAGCAATAACAATAACCACTTGTGTTCATCTATTCCATAAGGAGTTCAGGCCGATCGTGAACATGAGCACGGCTGTTATAACAATTTTAAGACACTCTGTAGAGATTGTACATCTTTACCCACGAGTCATGATTTGCCCTTTCGCCCGAGGTGATCAGCCTCTTGACCCACTTCCAAGTAAGTCGGCAGGGTTCACTATGAAGCCTTTTGAAAGTCCTTTTAACAAGTTAGTAGCCGCTAGGTTTTAGCAGCTAGGCGAATGGAGCCCCTCTAAAAGAGTGGCACATTCTACGCAGGCTATACACACCCTGAGAGACACAAGAAGCTATTCTGCAACCTAGGCCTATCCTTTTGCGTCTTTCGGTAACCACTAACGAGCTAGAAAAGCTCAGTTTACTTAGCTAAAGCCAAAACCGGAGCCATAGCTCTCACGGTTGTACGTCCCGGATTATCACTCACAGATAAGACCTTAGGGAGACGAATCTAGAGCACCATACAAATAATGCTGTAGCCCCCTTATTCCATGTTGCTAAAAATCATATTTTAATGCTTATTGCATATACCATAGGCAGGTTACAGATCATGGTTATATATTTGAGAACTAGCATCATACTACCCAATGCATAATCCCATAGGTGACAAGGTATAAGTACAAGGCTAGAAAATCCTTAATGATAACAAGGAGACACATGCACATGAATTAAGTGGAATCAAAGTGAATAGGTGACAAGGATGATCCCATGTTATACTTGCCTTACACGCTTGCTTAAACTTCCTTATACTTTGCTTCTAGTCATCACCTTCTGATCTTTGGCGCTCACAAGTGGTTCTCGTTCTACTCATAGCAAGCACCATCCATAGGCAAACATACAAGCAACTAGGAACAATACACACCACATGAGAGAAAACAATGCACTAAAAGAGAGGGCTCATTGCTACGGTCACTAGAACGCAAGAAATGCCAAAAACAGGTCTATGGATAAAAAGGAACGACTACCAAAAGTTTTATATTATAAAAGAAAAGAAAACAACTACAAGCTTGATTTATTTTAATTAAGAAAAACCACATGAATGACATAAATTTAGATTAGTGAATTTATATTTTTCTTAAAAAACAAGTTAAACCTAATCGTATTTTATTCTTAAACATTGTCGTAAGAATTGAGCAAATTAAACTTTAACTTTGCAAAAAAAAAACATGTGGGAACATCTATTCGAATTATGTGGTACGCATGTTGAAGCTATGCAATTTATAATTTAGAAACACGATTATGTTAGTAATTAATCATATTAATATTTGTATATCAAACACTAAAGTATAAAATCTATATGGATTTTAATTACAAAACTAGTCGATTTAACATTAATCAACTTAATATTTAAATTATAAAGCTAAAAAACATTTAGCATGATAAACATCGCCACTAACACGTAGATCGTCTCGATACGGAACTAACGCAGCATGAATGGACTAAAATGGGGTTAAGATGGTTATGAATCGATGGAGGTTTAAAAGGTGCATGGAAAGTTGCTGAATATTCCATAAGCAGGTGTTGACAATCAAAATTGTCCATTCTATGAGTGTAGGATGGACTAAACCATTGCGTTCCAAAGTCGGGATGAAGGAGTTGTTCCATCAGGAAAATCTCACCTTAACAGAACTTCTGGCCCCCTGTCAGAACTTTTGATTTTCGTTTGGAGGTTTTGTGTTTGTGCGAAAATCAAAACTTCTGACCCCCTATCAGACCTTCTGATTTTTGCCTAGAAGTGCAGGCTTTGTGCGGAAATCAGAACTTCTAACCCTCTGCCAAAACTTCTGATGTTCGCCTAGAGGTGCTGGCTTTGCGCAAAAATCAGAACTTCTCACCCCCTGTCAGAACTTTTGATTTTCGTAGTCCGAATCAGGGAGAGTCCAAACTAAATCCCAACTCTTCCAAACTCATGGGAAACTTGGAGATTGCATCTTGGGATGGTTTTCTACTAGGATAAGACCGTTCCCTCTATATATGAGAGGATCACGACCGATTGAGTACCATCTATCCAATCGTCAAACAAATCAATCTTCTACCTCTATTTCAACCCTTTTGCCCTCTTCTCCAACCCCCATGCTGTTCATCCCTTGATCCGATGACCAAGGCTGGTGCCCTAGGCTTGCCGGTCGACCTAGGGCACCCTAGCGACATCCTTGCCATGACGGGGTCCCTCCTGGGCGAGAGCTTCGACGGTTTCTTTGCTAGTTTACCTAAAAAGTAGCCGGTTCTTCGTCACGCAAACACATTGGTTATCCTTTGGTGGTTTGCTTGTAAACCTCTCAGTTCTTTACCATGAAAGAGTGACATCCTCACTGCGTTCTTCGATCCATAGCGGCCCGGGTGTCTAAGGCCCTATTGGTTGATTCAGATCACTTCCGACGTCAACACATTTTTTGGCGACTCCACTGGGAAAGAATTTGCTTCGGCTCTACTTTGTAGCCGAATCTTCTTGCCCTAGCCTTACTCCTCGTTGATCTATCTTCGTGTGCTCGCCATTACCATTGCATCTGGCCCAAAAGGCCGATTGCATCTGGTTTTAACCCCTTGTGACCTCGCTTGCAATTTTACAACGTGTTGCGCTTGCTATTAGAAAATTCAGCAAGGTGGTCAAGTTCTAAACCATGGAGTAACAAGGTGTTGCATCACAATATTACTACAATCACCCTAGGTACAACATGCAAATACATCTTATGATTCTAATAGTTGTTTCGCAAGTGATATGAACTCTCATGTTGGTGTTGCTAGTCATAATGATACTAGATATGTTGCATCGGCTAATACTTTTGTTAATACTCCTCATCATACACATCATAATTATGAATATTATGCTCAAGAGGCGATGCCAACTATAAATTCTTTGTGTTTTGATGCTACTAGCAACATACAACATGTAAATCGTTATTCATTGGCTATAAGTTCACAATATGTTGTTTCACCACAAGACATGCCGATGAATGAGAGAATTGGCTATAACAATGCTAATTATTTAGCTAATTGCTCTCAAAATTTAGCACCATATGCTAATGCTCGTATTCATAATTTGACTTCATATGCTACTCCCAACTCGAGCCGA